ATTTTCGACTAACTTCAAACAAGGAGGAAGGTCTATATTTGACTGTATCTATCCTTTTACAAGTAGGTATGATCATTGGATTTTCAGTCAATTGCGCACAGGATATTTAAAAAAAACTTGACGGTTTTATTGACATCAAGTTCGGATCTGATGATGGAATCTAAGGGACAACTCTAAAGTTTTATAAAATACAATATTTTTCATTCTAAAGCTCTATCTAATTAAAAGTAAAGTTTGTTATCTTGGAAAGATCTTGTGTTGCAGATCTCTTGTTTTTGGTTTATATTTCTCCCAGCCTGTAAAAACTGTAAATCCTTCTTAATTGACGTGAATGATCGTCAGTTAACTGTCATTGGCGACGGTCGCGGCTGCTTAATATTGAGCGGGGCAATCGCGTCGGGGTCACTTATCGGCCGCGGCGTCACTCGTCCGGGTCACGGGGTGAAAGGTCCTCGTACAAATCTGTTGGCATCAGCGTAATGCAGGGAGATTAATCTTTCGTCGTTTCTAAGTTGCAAAATAATGGGTCATGAATAAGGTTTGACATACCCGCTCGGCCTTAACACAAGCGGGTGTAAGTTCAATTTCTTCCAGGGTTCAATGTTAACCGCGAGAATTTAGTGCACATTTACGTTAAAGTTGTAGCAAACCTTCCGTAATTGAAAAGGTTACCTTGAATTTTGGGCAATATGGAGGCTCTGTGCGGTTTTGTAACCACCCAAAATGGGCAATTGGCCCAGTATCCATCGCAATAGGCCCAGCGCTCCGGCGCCAGAGTGGCTAATATTATTATCGAGGTGAACTCAGTGGGTTCATGTCTTTGCAGTGTCTAAGAGCCAAAACCCATAAGTTTACTACTGTCATCACAGGCCTGACGGTAAAAGAAGGTACTGCTGGGTCTCAGTAGACTGTGTCAGTACTCGATGTCGGTTTACGGCGCCATAAAACCAGCGCCATTATCGCTTGAGAATCTTCGTTGTAACGGTTTTATTCGGTTAGATTTTTTATTCAGCGGCGAAGCTGTAAATTATACGAATAATATAGGGATCAGCGCCGCTAACGACTATTTGATATACTGCGGTTACAGCTTACTTCGGGAAATATCTACTATAGTCGGGGATACTATATCTAGTATACGTGTAGTAATAGTGTAAGTACGGGGACTCGAGTTACTAAAACGTTTCAGATATTAATTTGCGAAGATATGTAGTGCTAGCGACCGAGATAGTATTTACGCCCGGTTTCCTCATTTAGTAACATTTTAAGTTTATTTTAGCCTAGGTATATGTGGTTTGAAAAAATACCTTTGAATTTAACATAGTTTGAATAACCCCTTAAGGCCTTAATATGAATTATGTTTTCAAATAAATAAACTAATATTAATTTATTCACAATAAAATTGTTAATCATTAAACATAAATGTGTATCTCAGTGGATTCCTTAACCTCATCTATATTGAGCAGCACGCACTCTCGGCGTGAGGCGGGTCCTCCGACATCGGCGAGTGTCACTCGGAGTGAACCCACGTCACTGAGGTTAAACTTCCTCGAGGAGGTACATGCTGCTATCGAGCGGTACCTAGTTAAGGCAAACCAGTTACATATTGTCGTGTTTCATATGATGCATTAAAATGTATTAGTCACGAGGATTTGATGAGTGCTACTGACAACGCCACTCTTGTGGTGGAGTTTTGGGCTGACACTGTGTAGGTTTGTTGTCGACACGAAAAGAAGAAGAAGTCACTTAACTTTTGTTATGGCAGTTAAATTATCAGATCTACAAAGAAACGTTTGATCGCTTCAATATTATTTATTTGATTATTATATTGACGAAGATGTCATGTGATTCAGAAAATCCTTCAAATATTTTTTTGAAAAATATTAATAACCTACACAAAGACATTCGTTTCAAGAATGCATTGATAAATATTTCTCTTGAAATAAACAAGTTGTTTAATGAGTCTGTTTTCCTCCGGCTGCGTTAATGTAAATCATATTGAACAACTCGAACTTCAGTGCGACGGATTTTAATGCGCGATGTGTTCAAACAGTTGTACAGCTCTCAACCGAATCGAGCACGTTTAAATTTTAATGTGAACAATGTAATTTAATTGGATTTCATCTGAACTAACTACTAATGGACTGAACATGAATTAATTATTTATTTTAAAAATACATTTTGATAATTTAGTTACATTGTTTCTTCTGTGCATCGACGTATCAAATATTAAATTAAATAGGATAATATAGTCAATTTAAACATTTTCAGTGCCCGTATTGATGTTGAAATAACTGAAAATGAGTTTCCTCGAATAGGTAATATGGTATGTACAAAATATTACATGCTAAGCTACGCTTCTGAGACTTGATCACCGGCGTAAGATGGCTTCGGTGCCGGTATTTCATAGGCTGTTTCGGGGAATACATGTGCGAAGTTACTATACGATATTTAATATTCCACCAGCCTCTTTCACCTTCGTGGAATTAGACGCTATTGGCATGCCATACTATGACCCAACAAACTTTGTAACGTCTACGAGTATGTTCATCAAGAATAATGAATAAATGAAATATTTTTTCAAATCCGTCTAGTAGAGTCTGAGCCTATTCAATATAAATAAGCAATCAAATTGTTATCTTTGTTATATTAGTTAGATTAGAAAAATAAACTGAAAGTGAAGATTATTTGTGCGTTAATATATTATTAAAGACATTTAAGTTATAAAATAGACGGTTACTACTATTTATCGTTACTCATAATTTTGAACTTTATTTTTGTTAGTAGCGGCTTGTTTTATTTGAGCAAAGCTCGCTTCGTATACATTAACATTTTAAGCTAGGTATCGGAGCGATACAATAATACTATCTGAATATTTTATTACGCTTCAAATCAATACACGGCGGTGAGGGAAACATTTAGCGGCTACGTTCATTCATTTTAATCCGGATGATACTTGATGTTTTGAGATAAACTACAATCAATATATTAATAATAACGACACAAAATAAAGATAATTATTTTAAAACTTGGAAAATGAATATAATGATTAAAAAACCTCGAACAAATGTAAGTTTAAACAGTAATGAAAGGCTCAAATTATAGTAAGTATATTTTCATCATGTAGGTAATTTATCTGGATGTTAGAAGGATTATTCATCATTGCTGAAAAAAACGTGGGAGCGCTTTGAATGAGATAGTGACGAGATGACACCAAATAAAACAACAACTTAAAAGCACGATCTAAATATCCAACGTATATTTGCTTGTGATGACCACACTATCCTCGATAATGGGACCGAGCGACAATGCTAATGGGGGCCAAAAATTCACCTTTGTAACACGACAGCGCTGCGGACCTAGCGTTTTGTCTGGTGCGGCCCTCGCGCTCATAACACTTAGCTTTTGTAGCAGCAAATGCCCCTAATTCTGTCCCATTCTGTGTGCAGAGACAAATAGGGAGCATCCCTCAGGGCGCATATTAAAAGTATAGGGCCGCCGAATAATTGACCAATAAAGTTTCTGGTCACGAGCGGTGCCCGAACGCCTAATTCTCTCGGAGTTCAGCTCTGTGTTCGAGCAAAACAAAAACTAAACTGGCAGCCATTTTGTCCGTTCCGTAGCTCTGTGTTAATACAAGCCCGACCTAATTCTTTCAGTTTTACTGAACCTCGTTAACACGATGTTAGAAATATTTGATTTGACATTAGTTCAATCTACAATTTCTCATATAAAACTTTAATCTAATTATGTTTTTAAATACACATTAAAACTACTAGCTGTAGATAAAACATAAAATAAGCCACAGTTGCCTCGTCGTGTAAATTACTCATATGAACAGTCGAACCTCCGATATAATCCAAATAAACCAACTGAGCAGTAACATGGCTGCGGCTGGTTTGCTACGTAACGCAGCATCAGTGCTACGTACGACTACGGCAATCGACAATACTACGCCGTAGCAGCTTACGGAACAATTGCGCTGCTACGGAGTAGCGTTACTACGAGTAATAGACGGCATACTACGACCTGTGCTGTACTGGAATATTCAAATCACTTTGTTAGGAGCCCAGAATATCTATTCTAATTTAATTATTTAGCTACAAGGTATCAAAACGGAATGCTAAGCAGACAACCAGACATATTGTACCTCAATACTAACACTTTGATTCCAAAACAGGCATTTTTTGATTCAATAACAAACACTCAAGGTTACAAACAAAACAGCACAAAGCGTGTTTGTAACTTTAAGTTGAATTTAAGTACCTTCGGAAAACTATACATAAATGGCACGCAACTCCTGATAACAAGGATTCGTGAGCAGTGATCATAACCGGAGGTTGCAAGGGCAAATAGCTTTTATTTATAAAGTTTTTCACTTCCATCTTATCGGCATTCACAGTCGGTCACAATCTATTTGGTAGACTGTGTTTTTTTACGCTGTTTATCTACTACACTAGTACTCTTATATCCAAATGTTGAAAAAAATTAAAGGAAAGTGGATGTTCTTATTTAAAGCTTAAAGCCAAATGGAATGCTATTATTTTTGTGCTAAATGGACTATAATTGGTTATCAGATTCATTATAACATTCCACACAATAGACTTAACCACAAAAGTAGTTGTAATGTTAAACGTTGAACGGTTATGTGAGCCCCAACGTCGCCGAAGGTCGGCGGCGACGCGGCTGCCGGTGACAGTCGTTTGTTTCGAACACAAATGAAGAATCATTTATTCATGTCTCCACCACGTCCCTAAAGTAAGGCTCGGCTCTAAAAAGTTTGCTGAAAAACTTTGATGTCTTGTTTTCAGTGTGTTTTGATCATTAGGCCGTCCCGGAAGATCAAAATACTGTAACAACATCTTTTAGGTTCCATACTCGTTTGAAATACCTAATTAAATCGAAACACGATTAATCATAATACTATGAGGTAATTATTTCACCCTGTAATAAATTCCAATACAAGTATGATTAATTAGGACTTATTCATAACAAAAGACCACCGTCCCGCCGAGGGACCTCTCGATGAGCCAAGCGGAGCGGATCCGTATTGCTATCGATGATAGAATCACGGATACTGCTCTAACCCCAGGCATGCGTGCTCCGTCATTGCGCGGTCGTCCCTATCTTCATGAGGGGGCTTTCGCGTTTTGGTGCGAGGATGCGAGGTCCCGCGAATGGCTGGAGAACCAGGTGAAATCCATTCCCTCACCTATCCCGGACACAACCCTGACAGTTGTAAAGCTGTCAGAAGTAAGGAGGAAACTGAGAGCGGGACTTCTCCTACACAGCCACATTACCGACCCGGTGACGCTGCAAAAGGTCATCAGCAACCAAAACCCTTGGTACAAGGTGGACACCTGGCAGTGCATCAGCGCCTCGGTGACAGAGGGAGCAGAAGAAGCGGAGGAAGGTCCGTCATCTAGGTACAAAGCTGTGTACCTGGTCCTGGGGATCCCTGAGGACCAAAAACAGACCATCCTCGACAGAGACCGTCGGGTATCACACCTGTCTGGTGGTGGCTACATCAGATTCTTCAGTAGCAAGGAGGAAGAATCGGAGGCCACCACCACAACCACAGCAGCGACGAAGGAGACGTCGACCCCTGAGCCATCCACCTCAGCTCCCCATCAGGGTCAGAGCGAGTTGGACATAGAGCACCAATCCCATGCCCCCAGTAGGGACATGGAATGTGACTCTGTCTCAGACGCAGACGACGGTGGCTTCACTACCGTCAGTCGTCCGAAGAGGACCCGCAAATCCGCGGCCTCCCCCCCTCCTTCCCCCCCTGCGAAGGCGCTGAAGGCCAACTCGGGCCTCTCTCAGCCCTCGCAATCTTCCCAACCCTCCGGCTCGCAGTCGAGCACCGGGCGGACTGTCAGAGTCCCCCCAGTCTTTGTCCAGGACAAGGCGTCCTGGAACAAGATTTCCGGCGCGCTCAAGGAGCGTCACATTAATTTCTNATAGCAAATTTAGATTTATTGAAACCAATTTATAAATGCACACAATATGGCTGCGCTGCGCTCCAAAATAGAAGAGAAGAGCATAGAGCAAAGACCAATCTAATCATAGACAATATTTTTTACTTTTTTAATTTTTTATGTTCCGTATTGAACAGACTCAGTCATCCCGGCGTAAGAACCACGAGAAAACTCATACAGAAGAGGTACTTTTGGTTGGCCATCAATGAACACTGACATAAAGAAATGGGTTCAAACATGCATCGGTTGTCAGCGCGCGAAGATTCAAAAACACACTAACAGCCCACTTACGGCATTCCCCGCATCGCCACGCTTCGAGCACCTTCATGTTGACATCGTTGGCCCGCTGAAGACTTCACCCCAAGGTCAACACTACGTGTTAACAATGATCGACCGTGCTACACGATGGCCAGAAGCACACGCAATACAAGAGATCACCGCTGAAATAATTGCTAAGATTATTTATGAACAATGGATTGCAAGATTTGGATGCCCGACACGAATAACAACCGACCAAGGCCGACAATTCGAATGTCACCTGTTGGGAGAGCTCACCAAGCTGTTTGGCATCACGAAGATTCGCACCACGCCCTACCATCCCCAGAGCAACGGCATCGTCGAACGTTGGCATCGATGCATGAAGACCGCACTTCGAGCTCGCCTATCAACCACCAACTGGGTCGAAGAACTACCAACAATCCTCCTTGGACTCCGTGCAGCCGTCAGGACCGACGACAGTGTGAGTGCAGCTGAACTCACGCTTGGGCACAACTTACGGCTACCAGGCGATTTCTTCGTCCCATCAATCGCGAACGACTCCATGGGTTACACCTATGTCGAGAAGCTACGAGCCACTATCAACAAACTACGACCGACGCCAACGAGTTCGCATGGAAGCACTCGTTCAATCTTCGTGCACCCAGACCTGAAATCGTGCAAACAAGTTTTTGTACGAGTCGACGCCGTGAAAAAACCGCTACAGCCACCCTACGACGGACCCTACACCGTGCTTCGAAGAAACGACAAATATTTCACACTACAGTTACCTGCAAGAGAAGCCACGATTTCGATCGATCGATTGAAACCGGCCTACACTATGAACACTGAAGACACCGCACTCGCCGCTCCCGCTCAGCAACCGGCTCCCGCCGACGACAACGATGCGCCCGACGCGCGCCAGCCCGCGCGGAGCGAGCGCGACGCTCGCGCCGCCCCCGCCGCCCGCCAGCCCGAGCGCGACCCTGCCCCCCGCACGACGCGAGCAGGGCGAGTCATCAAGCTGCCGGTACGCTTCGCTTGAGGGGGAGTACTGTAGCCGCCAGCGACCACAATAAAAATCGTCTTCGAATCGAAACAATGAATGTTTGCAGCCGAAGCCACAAGCAATTCGCTTCGCATCGCTCGCACGGTACGGACGTGCGCTCCGCCTCGCCCGCCCGCTCGCATGCGCTGCGCTCCGAGTTCCTCGAGCTTATCGCCCTCGCTCTGCGAGTCTTGTTTCTGTGGTGTTTTGTCACAATTACGTGGCTTGCCCGCGGCTGCGCTTGGGATACCTAACGGTGATAACGAACAAGCGTAGTTAAACGCCTTTCTAAAGGCGGTTCGGTTCGATTGGGAGCGACCGACAGTGCCTTTTTCAAGGCGCTGAAATTTCCTGCCGCCGCCGGTATATTAGGCTGTGAACCTTGGCCTCCTGGAAGGCACGTTTGAGAGGGTGAGGCGTTCCTCCTCGCCCTTGAGACACTCGGTTTCACAGTCTTTTCACTGCCGGGCGTGACCCCCCCTACCCCTCCCTACTTTCCATCCCTGAAGGAGCGTATCCCTGGTTGTTTTTGCAACCAGGGCCCTCCTGAAGGACTGATAGGAGTAGGTACTCACCCTACGTACACTTTTCCCACTCACCCCGCACGGTTTACACCGACTGTGCGGGACTTACACACCGCTATAACCACCGAGTTTCTTGCCGGCTCTTCTCGGTGGTTGCGACTTGCGAACCGGCGTAGATTCACGCGTCGCGAATACACCCTCCATGCCATGGACACGGAGGAACTCTTAAAGTTCCTCCGGGCCACTCACCCGGAGGTCCTCTCCGGGTTTAAAGCCCACATACGGGCAAAGACCCTCGCAAGCTCTGTGTATGAGGAGCCTGCTTCCCCTTCATGTCCCGAGGACGCCATGTGCGATCCGAACTCGGCCCCTCTACCAATCCCGCTCACGAACGAGCACTCTGTAAGAAAATTATTATATTTATTAATAGTATATTATTATTATTTTTACTTAAGTATAATTGCATAGAGATTTATTTGATTTGTACAAAAATAATATTTAAATTAGGAAACGGAAGTTTATAAAATACGGTTGTTGTATTGACTCGTCACGTTGTAGAACAAGTCTCAGTGAGTTGGGAGGGGAAAGGTGATATAAGAGGAGGTTCGGGCATTAAGAGACATTCTTTTACGAGACACTAGTTAAGAGGAAACTCTGCCCGACTGTGTAAAATATTAGAAAATAATAAAGTTCGGATATTGAATCTGCAATATTTGTTTCTCTGCTTCTGATTCCCTTATATCAGAAGCGGGATGAACTCCGAGTCGCCCAGAAACGATAATGTTCAGCAAAAATCTACTCGTGGACGCAAAAGAAGTCGTCGAAGACGTTCAAGTACGAGTTCGTCAAGCAGTGATGCCTCGTCGGACTCGACAACGCGACCTACGCATAAGAAGCGTCATCGACGTCGCCGTGATCACCGGCGGCATCACAAGAAAAGCTCATCGAAATCCAAGCGCAGGAGCCGACGTCGCCAAGACTGCGCTTCTCGTGAGCGGACACCTGCGGTGGTGGTACGCGATGTCGAAAATACGCATCAGGCGAGTACTAGTGCATTTTATACTTACCTGAACGTGAATGTGTGGTTGTTTATAATAATCTTAAATGTAGATTTTTTTTTTCTCGATTCTTCTCTTTTTGTTGCACACAAAAGACTAGAAATATTGAAATTTTACTGTCTTTTGTCGGCCGTTTTGCTGTGGTGGTTCGTAACGGACTACTCGAGGTCGCGGGTTCGATTCTCGCACAGTATAAACATTTATGTGCATGAACATATTGATTTGAATGGGTCTGAGTATTTTCTATTTATACCCTGAATTCTAAAGAATTCAACCATTCGAATTCTTTAGATTTTATATATAGATGTATGTACATAGGTATTTACAACTTGTTTTGTCCCCATAGTACAAGGTATCAAATGTCCCCTTTGTTTTTTTTTTGTTTATTTAGTTCCAATGCTAATGGGGATGTTGCCTGGGTCAAAAAGCAAGAGTTTTAATTAGTCCGTCAGTTAACTTATCAAAAAATACTCTACACGTATTTTTCACTTTTTCAAACTAATGAAAATTTAAAGAGATAAAGCGCCCCAAAGTTCATAAGAAGAGGCCCGTGACGTCAACGCTTGCTTAAAAATGCCGCACGTTGTGACGTCGTGCGCAACTTCAACGCACCATAACTATGTAATTATTTGTTAGATTGACAAATAAAAATATACGTGTCCAATATTTTTTGATATTAAACATTACGGACTAAAAAAATTTTTTTAGGCAACTAGCCTATTTGCTAGAGGTTTATAATANATGAATAGTGCAGTCATTCTTGGCGGCGACTTTAATAGCAAACACACTCATTGGGGTTGCGTAACATCCACTGCCAACGGCATGATGCTAAGCGAACTCTCTGAGGAACTCATTTTTGACATTTTAGTCCCTATGTCCCATTGTAAGGATAGTGAGTGGGCTCACTATCCTTACAATGTCGAGCATCGGCCCGACATTCTTGACATGGCAATTCTAAAGAATATAGGCCTCCGCCTACACTCTATAGAAACCATGCACGCGCTCACTTCTGACCATCGCCCGGTCGTACTCCAATTAGGCTCTCCTGAGTCTACACCCACTATGAAGACAGTTGTGGACTGGGACAAACTCAAGGTAAAACTTGGGAACTGTCAGAGCCCACAACTGTCCTCAATCCCTGACGATATAGTTTCGCCTCACGAAACTATTCACGCGATCGATGCCCTCACTAGTCACATCTCGGTCGCCATCGGCGACTCGTCTAGGCAAGTGCCTGCGATGGCTAACCACCGTCTCAGGCTGCCGGACGACGCGCGAGAGCTACTGAGGGCAAAGAACGCAGCCACTCGCGATTATGACGCTTATCCAACCGAGGAAAACAGAGCCCGCCTACGTTCCTTACAGCGTGATGTCAAGGCTCGTATCGCGGAACTCCGTAACAATCAGTGGGATGATCTACTTAAAGAAATCTCGCCATCTCACCAAGCCTATTGGTANCGCCTACGATCCTTACAGCGCGCTGTCAAGGCTCGTATCGCGGAACTCCGTAACAATCAGTGGGATGATCTACTTAAAGAAATCTCGCCATCTCACCAAGCCTATTGGAAGTTGACGAGAGCCTTTAAGTCCGACACCGTAGCGTCCACGCCACCGCTTTTACGTCCCGATCAAACGCTTGCGTTTGACGACGACGCCAAAGCCAAAGTCTAGCCGACAGTCTAGAAGCACAGTGCTCCCCCAGTACCCTCCCAGTAGACTCTGCCCACCTCCGCATGGTGGACAGCGAAGTCGAACGTAGAGCCGCCCTCCCTCCGACCACAACCCTAGACCCGACCAACGTCGACGAGGTGCGAACGATAATCAAAGGTTTCCGTCCCAACAAAGCCCCCGGCCCGGACCGTATCTCTAATAGAGTCTTACGCGCCCTGCCCGCCCCCCTAGTATACCTCTTGGTTGCTATTTTCAACGCGGCCATGTCTCACTGCATCTTTCCCGACGCGTGGAAAGAGGCAGAAGTCATTGGCATCCCGAAGCCCGGTAAGAAACTGGCTGACCCCACAAGCTACAGACCCATCAGTCTCTTAAAGACCATGGGTAAGTTATACGAACGTATAATTGTCTCTCGATTAAGAGATTATGT